GACTGCTTTTGTATTTTTTTAACGTGCAAGTTCCCTATCACAGATTTCCCTATTGACGGGTTTGTTTACATAATCGTGACGTCAAAACAGGTATCATCATAGAAGCATTGTTTTGGCGGGAAAATTTTTATTTCAAATTTAATATTATTTTTTTTGTGTAACAAGGGCGGTATCAGTTAAATAAAAACTGGTCATATGGATATTGTGCAGCATAAACTATCGATTTAAAACAAATTTGGAAAATTTTAGTTCACTTGCAAGTTCCCTATTGCCTAATTGTATAATGCCATATTGTCGAAGTGGCAATGACATTTATTTTGGAGTATCTCTTCAAATAAGCTCAGGAAAAAATAAAAATGATTTTGCAAAATTTCGCTTTTTTCCCGAATATTTCCGGAAGTATTCGGATTTTTCCTAATTTCGAAACGGCATTCTGGTGAGCAAGAAATTGCGTAACTTTGCCCTAATTGCGTAACTTTGCCCTAATTTGACCGCCCCTGGTTACCGAGATCCCCATACTAACTCGCGAATTTCTAACACCCTGTATATTGATAATAAATGGGGTTATTCCGTGAATGAAGAATGAATAAATAAAAAATTAAAATAAAATAAATACATTTGTAACTCTGATTTTTTTTTCTCCATAAATATGCCTAATGTTGAATGAAAAATTATGGAGGCCTTCAAAAAAGTCTTCCTAATCAATTAACTAATTTGATTATGTCCCCAGCCTTATCATTCTCCCACGAATTCATTATTATTTTATCTTTGCTCGTTGAGCAATAAAACGCTATATTAATAAAATTAGTCAATATTCAAATGTTAGTTTGAATGGTATCAAAACCGTTTTTGTGTACTCGTTGAAATTTCTTGTCGTTTATTGGGCTTCTATTGCAGACCGCGATAACCCACCTTATCCTTTAGCGTTAAGCTGTGCTTTAGCCTTGTGTTTCTCTTGTTTTTCAGTGCATTTTTGATGTAAGTTCATTATAATGTAGTATAGTTTTACTTGAAAATTTTAATATAAAAATGATGATAATGGAACATAGTGTTAGGAAACCAGGACGAACTTTTGAGGTTAACTCATCTATTTTTTTTTCGCGAGAAAAATGCCCAAATATTACCACAGAATGTATTACTTTCTATCTCTATTTGATTAATACCTCAATCACATCTAAGTATTGATATTGTCAAAAAATCTTTGCTTGCCACACACACTTAAAATTTTAATTAGAGTAGACCTTCGAAATTTTCAAAACCGCCGTCGTCTTCAAATCCAATATTTTGCCTTATATTCATCGGTTCATCCTCCATAATTTCTTCGGAATGACTTGAGTTCTCGTAGATTTCTTTTCCAATATTGGAGCATCTTTCAGAACCATGACATGTGTTTTTGGCAGCCGTATTTTTGAATGTAACATCCACTCTCACAGCTGCAGCAAATAGTTTCAAGCAATATTCCAGGAATCAATTATTCTTTGTCTTTCAAATTAGGCATCATTTCATACTGGTGTTACTTCCAGCCCCAGTCGGTTGCTGTTAGTTTGTTATCGACCCAAATTTGGAGCTGCTAGTATGCCCTTAAAACAATGTTTTTTTGCTGCGTCTTCAGATGGTGGAAGTTTTCCCAATTTAAATGATACTAAGTTGGAATATTAGGCAAAATATTGGATTCGGAAACGATGGCGGTATTGAAGATTTCGAAGTCAAAGATCCATCAGAATATGAAAATTTGATCGAGTTCGATAATGAAGAACTGCCATCAAAAAAGCAAAGACTTATCAACAATTGATTGCATGTCATAAACGCAGATACTAAAAAAAATCAAGTTTTTTCAGTTTTTCGCATTTTCCGCCAAATTAGATGTAGATGTTTCAACGAGAAAAAAGCCCACTGTGTTTTTTCTAAAAACTTTTTCCAGGACGTGGGCATTTTCGGGTGAAAGTGAGGCCCCTTTTTAGGTTTTAAAATCTAAATAAAATGTAGAAATAAATATTTTGAACTGAAAAAATTACAGCGTGTTTGAGGTATAAAAAGGTAAGTTTTCACCAAATTTCGTGAACAAAAAAAAATTGTGGGAGATAGAAATCAAAAACGAAAAAACCGGTTTTTCTCTGAAAATTTTAGGTTATGTGAAAAAATTGTTCATACAAGAGTTGTAGACCTTTTTATTACCTACAACTTTCATATTTAACTTCTTCCGTTCACCCCATGTCACCCTCGTAACTCGGATTCAGTTTAATTTATTTTTCCCGTTGTTTCCGCTATGTTTTCTTCCCTTTTTAACAGTTTTCATGCTGTTATTAATTTTATTTGTCACTCAAAATGTTTACAAAAAAATACTTGAACTATCCTTTCCATTTGAAATTAAAAGGGTTTAACCTTAGCTTGCATCGTATCAACTAGTTTACGCCCGATTAGGAATTAGGTTGGCTTTTCTCCATAACCATAATAAATTGTACACATTTAATCCGGCTTAGATTTGAAGCACTAACGGTGCATACAGCCCCAAGTTGAGCAAAATGAAAAACACAAACCAATGTAAAAAAAAATTGACGCGTTTCTTTAAAAAATCGTTCAATTATTTTGCTTCATACAGATTAAAATCATTTTTCTCCTGCTTGAAGTTGAATCTAGAAACTATTTGAGGATTTTTCATACCAACCAAAAAACAAAATTGAAATAGCAAGGGCATACAGAAATCACAAACCAGTCAGAGCGAATTTCATTGGTTGAAAATAGTCAGAAAACTTTTTGTTGGCAATTTGCACCAATCAAAAGCGACTGGTTTGTGATTTCTGTGTGAACAGACCTCTAATGGTCTTGTAGGCACTTAGGCACTTCTCTGTCAAGTGTTGACAAGGATAAAGTTTTAACTATAGACCGCTTGAAAATAACAGAATATTTTGGCTCAGCAAAAGTTTAAATATATGAAAATGAAGTTATCTCTCGAATGTGTACTATATTACATGAAATAGCTATAATCATCATTGATGAACGAAAATTAAGATGTTCTTTTATTAGAATTTTATACGTGGTTAATGTAGTGTTTTTAAAAAGTTCTCTAGACTTCTACACAGTAAAAAATGACGCGGTGGTAAAAAGTATATATCACAAGGTAAATTATAGAGGTGTTGAAAATAACACTAAAAAAATATACTTATTTATACTCTTTAACACTCGATGACCACTATTCGAATGGTAAATTTCGTATAAACACATTTTTATCTCTTTTTGTGTTATTCTAACACAGTTTAAATAAATTTCACACTACAAAAAGGATATTTTCTTTCACGCTGGTGTAAAAAATTGCGTTAGTGTTAAAATAACCCGAAATTTGGTTAAAATAACACTCCTCAGGGTCGATTCAACTCTAGGCGTTGCTGGTGGTCTAACCTTTACCTAAAAATCGCGTCAGTTCGTCAGTTGTAGTTGCAGCTACAGGTACCGGTCCCGCGTGGTGCATCTTCAATCAATTTTAATCGTTTCCAAGTTTCGTGAAACGTGATTGATGCCATCCCAGGCTAAAATTCAGGTGAAAACTCAAAATGTCCATTCCAGTATTTGAATTATTTCATAGAAACAAAGGAAAGTTCTGTAAATTAAATGATGATTTTTCGTATGAAGATGTCGTGGATCTAGGTAAGCATACTTATTTACTAAAAAGTAAGGCACATACGCAATACGCCGCCATTTAAAGTACCATTATAAAATAAAGATCTGTTGTTTTAGCGAGAATAAAAATTGCACTTGCAAAGTCAGAAGAAATAACTCGGTGATACAAGTTACAAAAATTTGGAAAGTAGTATCGCTCCTCTGAAAAACGAATCTGATCATGAGTCATCAAATTCAACGCTTTCAATTGATGGAAATACACGAACTGCATCTGAACTTAATGCATGGCTCCTCAACTCCAATGAAGGACCAGAAAACAGTTGTGGTGATGGATACCAGCATCAGATAATAGTCATATTGATAGAAATCCCAATTTTTACTTGATTAGTAAATACTTTTAACACTCAATACTGTGTTTTTTTACATTAACCAAAATATGTTTAACACTAGGTAAATGAAATTTACCTCTGATTAAAACCTAATTTAACACTTAGTCAAGTGTACTTTTTACGTCCTCCAAAATATATTTAACACGCAAGAATGGGTCAAATGAATCTATTTTTTAAATACTATTTACCAAATTTTACCACATTTTATCAGTGGTGAATTTAACACGCATGAGTGTGGACCTATATGTACCACTTTTGGGTGTTAAAATTAACACTAGATTTTTTACTGTGTAAACAGGAAGAATTAAAATTCGAATTTCCCAAATTCCAAATACCACAAGGATAAAATTTGGGGATTGCTTATTCTTATATAGGGTATGAGGTATTATATATAAAGTCATCAGTCTGGTCTGGCAAAATTTTTATTACACATCGATTTTCACGTAAATTTTATATTATGTCATAAACTCGAGGATTTCTTAGTCCTTGGGGAAACCTTAAAACCCAAAGAAATGCTGGAAGTAAATTCCACAAGATTGCAATATTTATCTATTTTTTTTCAATGTATGTATATCTACTTTTGTATTCTGATTCTCTTCTTGGTAAACGTTTTCGAAGTAAAATCCATTTTTATTTTTTAAATAATTTATCTGAGATGTTAGACTTTGGAATCTCTATCTGACATTTGTAAGTAGCACTTTCTCGTCTCTAGTTATTAAAAAAGTCATTAGAGTACGGAAGTTTAGCAATACAAGATATTATGGAATACAGGACAACTAAGTTTATAAATAGTATTACGGAATTAGTGCGAGAGCCCGGCCAGATTTGTCGGGCGCCGGGTTTTTCTAGAGATTCCGGGTAAGATGTCGACTTTAAATAGCGCCTAGTAGTAAGTTCAGTTGACAGCCAGTCAAAAAGCTCGGCAACAACGCTTTTGCAACGCAATAATATTACATAATATCAACCTTTTACATAAAATTTGAAATGTCATTCCAGCTGTCTCCAATATCTCCAGTCCCGATTACCATGACGATGACAGTGTCGGGATCCGCGACTGCGTTATGGAGATTAGCGACCACAGTGATAGCGACAGTACGTTGCTAGGACCGGAACCAGGACGACGGCGAGCCAATCAGAGGGCTTTGGCTAACGCTGACACGTCTGCTGCGCAAGGCGATCACAAGATCGTCATTCAGGTGCGCGGACCTCAAAGGGCGCAACATGGCAATGAGGATGTGTTGTTAAGTCATGCTGGGGATCAGGTTAGTTCTCTTGACTTGCATGCTTTTTTTGTTTAGAGTTATAGAATTTTATAGGAAAACTCTTTGGTTATAGTAAAACTGATTGGTTAAAATAAACTTTTAACCTAAAATATAGACCAAAGTTCAAAATAACTTGAATTCTCCCAGGAATTATTATTTATTTTAATCCCTGAAATAAGCACTCTCCACTGAAATGAATCTAATAGAAAAAAATCTATTGTTAGGTACTCAGCAGTGATATTTTGATATGTCTTAATTTCAACATAAATATGCAAAACATAGATTATTAAGCAAATTTTTAGCATTTGGGTACTTGAAAATAGACCAAATCGTCAGTATGGTTTATTTTATTCTGGTTAGTGTTGAAACTAATGGTAACTAAAACGCCGTGAAAGATGTTTACACATCAAAAACTCATATACATATACATATTATTAACATTTACATTTTTCTGATTGTAGTCATTAAAAATCTAAAATTGAAAGCTTTACTGCACATTGTTCAATAATTAATTAGCACAGGCAAAATCGACCAGAAAATGTGGAATGACAGAAAAATATCGTTTATTTGTGAAAATTTGTTTAAAACTTCATATAGGTAGTGAGTACAATCAGAGATCTAACTGGAGAGCCCCCAACATTCTGACGATTGAAAAATTTAGGGAAAATTCAAAATTCGAAATATGTTTGGGTAAAAAAGTTGTATTAACTAAGGTGTTGGGTATATATTTTTCTCGTTTTCTTAATTTTTTCATGCCAGAACCAGGTAACTAAATCAATTCAGTGGATGATCCAGTTTTTTTCTTACAAATAAATTATTATTACCAATATAACTAAAATAAATGTATAAATAAGGCGCCTTTTCTAGTCCTTTATCTTCCCAATACAGACAATCCTGCTTAATCAGGACGAAATAACATTTCTTTATAATACATTTGACTATTGTTTATAGCTAACTGTTTATAATAATCAGACAAGATACACAAAGGCAAAAACAACAAGCTTCTGGAGCATGACAAAAGAGTAGTATGACCACAGAATATACGGGTGATTTTGAGCTTGTATGAGAATTAGAAACTTCAAATTTGGTTTGCATTGCAGTCATAATCAATCATTCAGTTCACTCAGGATGTCCTGAGTGAACTGATACATTGCTGTCTGAGTTGAGCGCTTCTTAATGCAACCGTGTTGAGTGTTAGTGAATATATCATTATCATAGAAAAAGGTTGATAGTCTTGTGCGCACACTCACATAGTCATCTCGAACACCCTCGAAAAACTTGGCGATAGGTTTATGGGTCTATAGTTTTCTATATTTTCAGGTTCCCCATTTTTGAAAAGTGGTTTAATTAGCGCCAGTTTTAGTTGGTCTGGAAAAATGCCATATTTGAATGAGTTGTTCATGATATATGACAAAATTTCACTCACGTAATTCAATGATAATTTAACTATAGATATCGGTATCTCATCTTCACCACTACTGTACTTGTTTTTAATAGATTTAGAAAGATCTTTGACTTCTTGAGGGGAAGTAGAGGCTTTAAATATAACGATTTGTTTACATTTTTGACAAGTTTATAATCTACTGGAATATCATTCAAATTCCCTAAAAGATCATTTACTATTTCATTAAAATATGTGTTAAAACTGTTTGCGACTTCTTCAGGATTTCTATTGATCTTACAGTTTCGACTCTTTATTTCTTACCCTGTAATTTCATCGTAAATATTCCACATTGTTTTATTTTTATTGTCCAAGCGATTGACCCGCTCTTCATAATTTCTTACTTTCAGAGAGTTATCATACTGCTTTTTTGTATCTTTATATAGGTATAATATGTCATTGTACGTAGGATATTGTTTTTTTAACATGAATAGGAGATCTAATCTATTCTTAATTTCTGGACTGCTTGGTTTGTTTATGTTTGCTATTTCCTCTTGGCTTCTTGGGAAAACATTGATCAAAAATACCCAAAAATATTGACATGAACTGGTTCCATTGTCCATTTACATCCTTCTTTTCTTGTTCTCGAACTGTTTTCCAGTTTTGGTCCATTAGATTGTTTTTAAAGGTTGTTTTCTCCCTCTTACGAAATTTTCTTTGAAAGGAAAGCACATTTCTTATGGAAAAGTGATCTATGTGGAATTTTGCTGAATTTTTGATATTGTGTAGAGGGAGTCCTGCTTAACAAAAGTTATCATTGCGCTAATGTTTAATAGCGAACAGTTTTTGAAATATCAATTAAAAACTTTTTTAATATAATACTCTTCAGTATGACGTCACCTATAGGCTCACAGCACCGAAAATGATTACTATCCTTTCCACTTTTGCTTTGACTATACTCTTCTCCTTTTAACATTAAGAAATAGAAAAAGATAGCCATAGCGATTAGTGACAAATGAGTAGGTAAACAAGTGTATTGTGTATTATCCTGGATGGGTAAACAACACCTAGCTCCTGCCCTGCCGCAATCGTCAATGTCATGTCATGTCATTCATATAGCGATTTCATTTGTACCTGTTGTTGTTTTTTTTTTCTTATGTTGAAACTAGAAGAGTATAGTCAAAGTCGCAAGTGGAAAGGATAATAAATATTTTCGGTGCTGCGAGCATATTGGTGACGTCATACTTAAGAGTATTATATTAAAAAAGTTTTTAATTGATATCTTAAAAACTGTTCGGTATTAAACATTAGCGCAATGTTAACTTTTGTTAAGGACGACTGCCTCTACACAATATCAAAAATTCAGCCAAATTCCACATAGATCACTTTTCCATAAGAAATGTGCGGGGGTCCTTTGTTTTACTTGTGATTTTGGGTCAGTATTGATTAAAAAGTATAACTTCTGTGCAGAGTGATCTGAGATATGCATGTCGAGTACATGACTCTCCCATTGGTCTATGTTTGTGAAGATGTTGTATATGCAACTGCTGGTCTTGTCGGTTATTCTCGTATACTGGTTGATTGCTTTAGGTTGAAAGATCGTAGTATATCTAAAAATATGTCTCAATTTCTAGTTGGATCAACCATCTGTATGTTAAAATCTCCTGCCAGCATTGTCGTTTTGTTTCCTGCTTGTATTATTTCTAACAAACGTTCTATTTTCTGGAAGAAAAGTTGTGTCCATTTGGTGGTCTATATACAGGGTGAGTTACTAAGCGCGCGTTGGTCCATATCTCCTATACCAATGGAGAGAAGAAAAAACTAAATGTAGATAAACATGAGTACTACGTTCCTAAATTATTTTACAGTATACAGGGTGGCCCAATAAGTAGTGGTGGCACAAAGTTATGTTTTTTTTTAAATGACTTCCCCTATATATTATGTCATTTCGGGATTTTGCGAAAAATTCTAGACATATTTCATGTACAATGTCATATACCTATCTTTAACTATTTCAGAAAAATTGACAGTTGAACATTGACTTTTTTGCATCTTTGATAGACTGTAAAACCTGGATGGTTAATTTCACAGCAAAATGGATCATACATTCTTATCTTAGTTTTTCATAAACTATCATTTGACACCAACTTAAAATTTAATCCATGATTAAAAATTCCGCTTAAATTATTAATCTTTGGTTAAACTCAAAATTGGTGTCAAATGATAGCTTATGAAAATCTAGGATCAGAATGTAAAATCGGTTTTGCTGTTAAATCAACCGTTCAGGTTTTACAGTCTGTCAAAGATGTAAAAAAGTCAATTTTAAACTGTCAATATTTCCGAAACAGTTGAAGATAAGTATATGACATGGTACATGAAATATGTCTAGAATTTTCCGCAGAATCCAGAAATGGCAGGGGGAGTCATTTAAAAAAACATAACTTTGTGTCACTACTATTTATTGGGTCGCCCTGTAGGTATATTGTAAAATAATTTAGGAATGTAGCACTCATATTTATCTACAAGTTTTGTATTTAGTTTTTTCTTCGATGAGAGATATGGACCACCGCGCGCTTAGTAACTCAGCCTGTATATACTGAAATATTACAATTATTTTTTTCCTGTCAATGCATACTTCACCTGCAGCGCACTCAAATTGATTGTCTCCAGAATATTTTTGAAATTCTCCTAAAGTTTTCCCCTGTATTGATTTGTGTATACAAATTGCAGATCTTCCATGGTGGCCTTCAGGTCTGCAGAAGCTTGACAGAAGGTTGTAGTCTTTTATGAGCAGATGTTGAAGTTGGCTCTCTGATTTCCAATATTCTGTTAGGCACAAGATTTTGCAATTTTTTTGTTTGTTTAAGTCATACTTTATTTGGTCTACTGAGTTGCCCAGCGATTGCACATTTTGGTGGATTGGACTAATGGGAAAGCCTTTATGTTTAGATTGATTTCTTTGATGTCTATTAGTTTTATTTTTTGAGGGCCAATTTATTCAATACCTTAATGTAATGTAAGCACCAACTTTCTTATTTCAAATAAAATCTTTGCATCTTTTTCGACATAGTTCGAGTGGCCTTGCAATTTTGAGTTTGGACAACCCAGGTTTGTCAACTTGTCTTTTATAGTTTTTGACATAAATTTATTTTATCTACAAGCGTTTGGTTATGAAGTTTTTACATAACCATTTTTCTAGTATTTGAGTTATGTCATGAGACTCATAACACAACTAGTGGTGTTATGGACTAGGTTATGAATTCATAACACAACTAGTGATGTTATAGACTAGGTTATGAATCCATAACACAACTATTAGGCATTCCAGGTCACGTGACTTTTGACAGGTCCGCCATATTAGCTGAGGGGCAAACAAAGCCTACAGATCATTATTGTTTACGTTTTTTGAGTTTGTGCTTTGGAATTTTTGCGTTTTTTGATTTATTCAATAAATTTTAAGTTGTTTTTAGTTTTTGTGAATGAATGGAATGAATGAATGAATCTTTATTTACAGACAGGCCACTTTACATTTCAATTCAACAATAGTAAATAAACAATTTATTAACAAAAATAATGTTTAAGAATCTAAATTGTTTAAAAAATAAAAAAGTTTGATACT